AATATATCAATTGGTATACCATCTATTCTTGGGGCCTTAATTTTTGCTATTTCCTTCAAAGCAGCTTGAATTTCTTCCTTCACCACCAAAGGCTCTTGCTCATATGTTGTTTCATTAAATTCTTCTGTGTCTGCCAATTCTTTTCGATACAGTGACTCAGTGTATTCTTTACATATTCTTTTAATACTTCTTGGAGCATTCAATATTCTGCCTAAAGCGTCCTTGATTATAGCAACTCGAGGTTTGAATTTGTTCTTCAGTTCCTTGACCTTAAGAAATGATGAGTGAGTTCGGCCCTTTTGATTTTCTGACTCCAGCTCCTTGCACATTTCATTGTAATCTTCACAGGCGGAAAAGCAGGGCAGCACAATAGACCTGAAAATCCCCGTCCACACAGGTAACCCTAGAGGACCCAAGGCTGCGTGGAAATTGGATTCGTTAGTGGGACGCTTAGAGAGGGCAGAAAGAAATCTTCACAGGCAGAAAAGCAGGGCAGCATAACAGACTTTACATTAAATGCTCCTAAAACACTTCACTCCACCTGGACCCTCCAAAGCATTAAATATGACCCTCCCCAATTCCTAAACCACTTTCTGATCTCAATATAAACGTCCCTTTCCCGCTCTTTCCAAGGTTCTTTCGAATATTCTAACAACGTTAAACGCCTCCGATTCATCCGCCTCCCTGCTTAGCCTTGCTCTGCCAGAAAGGTGCGCTGCAATGGAAATCAAATCATACCACCCTTCTGCTCCAATAACTACTCTCCTCTTTTCTTCCTTTCAGCTACACCCGCTTTTCTTGGCTCCAACACGCCAGGCTAAATCATACCGTAGGGACTTTACACAGCGAGAATGTTCTTTCTCAGAGAGCCACCCGGCTCTCCCCTTCACTTCCTTCAGGACTTAACTGAAGTCCCCTAAGGGTGGCTTTCCGAGCCACCACCAACCAGTAAAACGCCAAACTCCTCGCCGTCAGGGGGAGGGTGGATCGAGTAAAAGCCGGGTTGGAGGCGGATCCAGAAAGATGTGAGCTTCCGCAGAGTCGCGTTGGCTGGATGAGAAAGGGGTCTGGCTGGGGAGGGCGGAGTCGAAGAGGAGGGTTCCTGACCCGAGTGAGCTTCCGGGGATCGCCTTCGCCTGTACGGAGAGGTCTTGAGTGGGGCTGACAATGGAAAAGAACCAGAATTAAGAATGCTGCGGCCGAAGAGTGCACCTCTGACAGCCCTAGACCTACAGAAAACGTGACGCCTCAGCCCTTCCCGGCCCTCGCCTCCACCTCGCCGAGCAGAGCTGCAGAAGTTGTAGAAGTTGCACCAGCGCACTATCGCCGCTTGGCCCCGCGCGCCCTCCAGTGACATTGTCCTGTTTGCCTTGTCTTCATCCTGCGCCGCAACCCTCTGCGCCTGTGGGGCTGCAGGAAGTCTGAGGCGGAGGGAGAGGAAATAGCCATTTAGTCTCTTCAGAGCCCAGATCTCTGAGCCAAGGTCACCTTGGTTCGTTCATCTTTTCCTTTAAGTGGGCCCACTTAACATTCAGAACCTTCTTTCTTTCAGGAACTTGGATTTCTGGCAGTTCTCTAGCCGGTTTTTAAAATAATCTTCAGCAAGAATTTGCTTATATGTGATATTAATCATGTTGTTTGATAATTTCCACACTGTTGGATCACCTTTTTGGAAAATGGGAACAAATACGGATCTCTTCCAGTCAGTTGGCCGGCCATGTTTCTTGGCACCGAGGGCTGTGTGTTGTTGGAACATATCAGTTGGTATTCCATCAACTCCTGGGGCCATAGTTTTTACCAATACCTTCAGTGCAGCTTTAATTTCTTTATTTATCACCCTTGGTTCTTGGTCATATGCTACTTCCTGAAATTGATTCCGTGTCACCCAAGTCTTTTTGGAATGTTGTTATGTGCCGTCGAGTTGTGACTTTATTCTTTCCATCTTCTTTCATTCCAGATTTTGCCCATAGCAAGCAAGCAAGCAATAAATAAATAAATACATCAATTAATTAATTAGTTAATTAAAAGAAAAACTCTTCCAGACCACAGAGAAAGTAGAAGGAACACCTGACAAATGATTTGGGTAGAGGGAGGAAGAACTTACATAGGACCTTCCTCTTCCAAAGCTGCTTATTCAGAGTTGTTAAAATAAGCAAATTCTACAATAAACTCTTATAATCCAAGCAATCTAGAAAAATGCAAACACAAAGCTTTTCTACTTACTGAGTTTTAAAATTTTCCTTCTTTATCCTTTTGTTTTTCTCAGAGGGGGAAATGAAATAAAAAGAGGGTTTTTTTGTTTTGTTTTGTTTTTAATCTGGGTTTTCTAAATATTGACTTTGTTCAAAAGATAATAAAGTCTGGGAGCTCTGGTGGCCTAGTGGCAAGATGCTGCACTGCAATCCCCGAGGAACACGATTCGAATCCACCAGATGCTCTGCTGGAGAAGGAGGCGCAATATCCTCCTGTACCAGTCAGATCTGATTTGACGGTACACGCACACAAAATAATAAAAAAATTTTAAAAAAAGATAATAAAATCTGTTCAAAAACTGATAAAAAAATTTTAATATTTTGCCCTGTCACATCCTTCAGTATTGCAACTTCAGCATTGAATGTTCTTAAATTCTTTCAGCTTAAGAAATGCTGAGTGAATTCTTTTTGTGACTTCAGAAATCAAAGGACACATCACATTGGGGAAATCTGCTGTCAAGGACCACCCTTCAGAGTTCTCGAAAACTAGGACATCAAGGTAGCCAAGGTAGCTCTGGTGGCCTAGCGGCAAGAAGCTGCACTGCAATCCCAGATATTCATGGTTCAAATCCACCAGATCATCTGCTGGAGAAGGAAGAGCTATCTCCTCCTGTACCAGTCAGATCTGATTTGATGGTACACACACACACACACACACACACACACACACAAATAATAAATTTAAAAACAAAATAAAACTCTAGGACATCAGTTTGCAGACTTAAGTTCACTTGATCTAAACCATGATCTTTCAATTACTATTCATTTTAAAATTGAACAATGAGTAAGGCTTACAGAAGAATTTATGTCTTTGAGTTGTCATGTTGGAGAGGAGTACTGAATATCCCATGAACTGCCAAAGGAACAAAGTATGGCTTGAAGAAAGTGCAACCAGGATGATCCCTGGAAGGAAGGATGGTAAAGCTTTGTCTGTGTACTTTAGGCATGTTGTTTGGATGGTGCAGTCCCTGTAGAAGGTCTGAGTTCTAGTCCCAATCAGGAGTGGGTTGGTATGAGGAGAGGATGAAGTTATTCTCTTATGTCCTGAGCCACCAATTTTCCCCCAAATCATGCTGGGTACAAGGAAGTAAACAATGTCAAGAGATGTCAAATTGAAAAAGAGACAGGTGTAACCAAGAAATTGCCTAGGAGAAATGAGAGATCTGTGTAGGAATCATATAGATGGTATGTCTTTTTATAACATTTTTCTGGAATACTTTGAGGAGGTAATTTCTAACTTAAAATAGTATGTTAAAACAAAATATTTAACTATACTAAAAAAAAGGGAAACATAACTTTAAAGCAAAATGCTCCAGAATGTTTTTATTTTTATTGTAATTTGAGTAAAAGTTTACAAATAAAATTGGCTTTTTGTTTAGTCATTTGTGCATATTTTGCTTTGCAACAGGGAACTCTAACAGCTTAGTCTGTAAAGTGTTGGGCTGCTCACAGTGGCTCAGAGGGTGAAAGCTGAACAAGCTCCTTCCTTGTAATTTGCAACCTAAGAAATTTGCTATGACTGCAAAGAATTTGAAGAGTTTCTTCTTTATTGTATGTGCGTGGGGTTGTTTGCTTTAGTCTTACTTTATAACACCAATTGCAATTATTTAATGTGATTGATGAATTATGTCTCTCATCCTCTTATTGTCTATGCCTTTTCATGCATTTATCTTAGCATGTATTATTTATTATTTTTTAAAAAGTATTGGTTTACATATTATAATTTGTTTGTTTCATTCATTTACATTGTTTTGTTTTGTTTTTTCAGCCCACTTCCTCTGCCCACCAAACTCTGTCACTCCTGATTTCCCACCCAACTTTCAGCTCCCCTGCCCATATGACTAATTATTCTCTTTGATTAATAATTTTTATTCTACTTTCCCTCCCTTTCCATTCCTGCTAACTGTTCTCCAGGATTTTGAGACATAAAATAAAAGCAAAAATTAACAAATAGATAAGTTGAATGAAGTGGAAAAGCAATATACAATATTGCCAAGGGTTTGATTGGACATGTGTAATGAATAATGTTGATCAATTTTAAATGACGTTATAAAGTGTCTTTGAATAATTGCATGAAAACGTAATGTGATTTTTAAACTTTCCCTCATATAAAATTTCCAAAACTAAAAAACAAAAGATGAAATGTTAAACTACTAAGAAATCGCATACTTGTGGGCTGATTCCCTTTGCTTTGCTACTGGAGGAAGAGTCCTAGCCCCGAACCTGACACTAAGTGTAAGCAGCTATTTATTGTGGGCCGGAGGAAGAAGGCTCAGTGTCCTAGGGTTGAACCTGGTCAGAGATCCATGGAAGGGGCAGTTCAGCTGTACCATCAGCAGCAGGGTCTGAGGGAGGCTGGAGCGTTAGCAGCTCCATCCCCTAACACAGGCTCTGCCCCTGACCAATCCCTGCCATTCCCCACAGCAAATGTTCCGCCCTTCAGTCCCGCCCCTAACATAGGCTCCGCCCCTGCCCCAGTCCCTAGCAAAGTCTCCGCGTGAATTTTGCTAGCAGTGAGCTCTTCAGAGCTGGTTGTCGCACCGCAGCTACTGGTTGCAGTGGGTAGGCTGTGAGCCCCACAACTATCTTCCCCAGGAGAAACTGTCGGTAAATTCTCTCACGAAAGAGCAAGAAAAGTGCGAATTCCATCCGTCTCCTAAGACCAGTTTCGGACAGTGAGCACGGGTCCTGAACCGGAGTTGCGCAGCCACTGGGGAAACAGAAGCCCCAGGTCACCATCGTGCTGAGATGGCCGCGTCCGCCCGCCGCCTGGGCCATATCGCCTTCCACGTGCCCGGGGAGCAGCCCCTCGCTCGCAACCTGCAGCGTCTCTTCGGCTTCCAGCCCTTGGCGGCACGGGAAGCTGACGGCTGGCGGCAGTTCGCCTTGAGGAACGGAGACGCAGTCTTTTTGGTAAACCAGGGCTCGGGTCCCGGAGAGCCGCTGTACGGGCTAGACTCGCATCACGCAGTGTCCAGCGCCACGAACCTGTGCTTTGATGTGGACGACGCGGCAGCCGCTGCTCAGGCACTAGCAGCGCGGGGCTGCCAGGTTCCGGTGCCCCCGGTTAGCGTGAGGGATGCACATGGCGCCGCCACCTACACGGTGGTGAAATCGCCAGTTCGCAACCTGAGCCTGACATTGCTGGAACGCACCGGCTACTGTGGGTCCTTCCTCCCGGGCTTTGAGCCCCTGCCTTCCGTGTCCAGCCCGGGCTGGGTCAGTCACGTGGACCACCTAACCTTGGCGTGTACCCCTGGCAGCTCCCCGACACTGATGCGCTGGTTCCAGGACTGCCTGGGCTTCCGCCATGTGCCTCTGAGTCCTGGTGAAGATCCCGAGGTGGGCTTAGAAATAACCGCAGGGGTCGGATGCGGAGGCCTGCGGCTCACTGCCCTGCAGACCCCAGTGGGCAGTGCTGTCCCGACCCTTGTGCTGGCTGAGTCCTTGCCTGGGCACGTTGACGGGAAGGATCAGGTGGAAGAGTTCCTAGCCCAGCACCAGGGACCAGGTCTGCAGCACGTGGGACTGTACACACTTGACATCTTGGAGGCCACGGAAGGGGTGGCAGCGGCGGGGGGCCAGTTCCTAACTCCTCCGGAGGCTTACTACCAGCAGCCGGGCAAGGAGGACCAGATCCTAGCAGCAGGTCATGACCCTAACCTGCTAGCCCGACAGGGGATCCTACTAGATGGCAATCAAGGCAAGTTCTTACTGCAGGTCTTCACCAAGTCCCTCTTTCCGGAGAACACCTTTTTCCTGGAGCTGATTCAGAGGCAGGGGGCCACTGGATTTGGCCAGGGCAACATCAGGGCCCTATGGCAGTCTGTGCAAGAGCAGGCTGCCAGGTGCCCGAGAGCCTGAGTAGCATGTCACTGGGCCCAGCCTACCAAGAGAAACATCCGGACTCTGCTAGGGCTTGCTCCTAAAGCAGGGGCGGGGAGTGTGGCCTCAGTCTCATTATCACAAGCTAATCTCACCACAGAACCAAGGATGTGGAGATTTTCTTATATATACTCTCTAATATAGGTGCAAAATGAATAAAGGAATTCAATTATTAGGAAATAGAATATAACCTATACTTTTTAAAAAATTTTACTGTGGTTTGATCAAAACTTTACAGAGCAAATTAGTTTTCTATTCAATAATTTATACCCACGTTGTCCCATGAAACTGATTGTAATGTCCACAATTTATTCTTCCCAGTATCTTCCTGTGTTTATTTTCATTCATCCTTATCCCTTTCTACCTTCTAAACTTTGTTTGTGCTTGATTGTTCTAAGGAGTGCCTTTCTCCCTGGGTTATTGTTAACTTTACCAGCCTGTTGTTTGGCTGAAAGTTGAACTACAGGGATGAGCTCAGTTCCCAGCTTGAAGGGTGTCATGGGCCAAAGCACATCCAGCTGTTTCCTAGAGGTGAGAATAGTAAGACTTCATCTCAGGTATGGAAAGATCCTCATGAAGATGACTGACATAAATGGCTGCAACAAGTGGTTCAAACACAGCAATGATTGTGAGGATGGTGAATGAACAGGCAGTGTTTTGTTCTGTTGGTACATAAGGTTGCTAAGAGTCAGAGGCAACTCCAAGGCAACTAACAACAAAGGCCATAGTCCTGGGGGGTGGGGTTCCCACCAGTCTCAGACCAGTATACTTTTGAAGCCTCTTTGTCCCCTTTCTGATCCCATTTCTGTCCCCCTCACCCACCAAATACTCTGATTATTAGCCCCTTGCTTTTCTGTGTACACTATGTAATGTATCCCCAAATAACTATAATTTAGTACTTGGGGTGGGAATGTAAAACTGTAAATCCTCAGTGCCTTCCCCTCCCTTGGAAGCTCCAGGTGAGGAGTGGCTTGATTGGGGCTGAGCCCCATCACCTGCTCTGGGGCAATACCACTCCTCCAATCAGAGGCGACCTGAGACCTAGGCTAGGGTGTTGAATGTCCACTGCTGGCAGGTACTAGCAGGTGCTCCCTGCAGCTGCTTTCTCCTCTCCTGGGGGCTGAAGGAGGTGGATCTCCCTCCCTCCAGATGCCTGCTCTCCCTAGGAGTGCAGCCAGCGGAAGCCCAAAAAAAAGCAGAATTTCAGCATTTTCTGGACTTCTCAGAGGTAGGAAGCGAGAAGAAGTTAGGAAGGAGGTAGAAAGATCTCAGTTACTACAGAAAATAAACACTTTAATAAAAACAATGGGATTCACGGGGGTGACCCCTTCCAGAGGCATCACTGGATTACACTGTTGAGGATGGGTGTATCAGCAGGAACTTGGGGCTGAAAGAAATGATCCAAGACTTGCTGACCACGGCTGAGTTTCTTCTGTCTGGATGAGAGAGACCCCTGGGACCTTTTAAAACCCTATGCAGAAGCCAAAGTAGAGTTGTATAGTGGAGGTAGCAGCAGAAAAACCTGGCCTCCTATCCCCTCACTCAGTTCGAGTTCTGATGTAGTTTAAGTTCTAGCCTGGAATGTTGCAAAAACTTTCACCAGACCTCCAGCATCTACCCCTCAGATCAAAATGAAGCCAGAAGGATCTTCCTATAATGCAAATCTGACTCCTCCCTTCTACCTAAAAGGGCTTCAGTGGCCTCAGCCCCCACCTAACCTGGGGAAGTTCTGTGGCCTCTCCAGCACCCAGAGACCTGCAGACTGCACTGTGCCTCACCTTTGCTCCTACTAATTTTCAACCTGGAAAGAGCATTCTTAGAAAATGACACATTTATGGGACCCAGATGATAAACTACCCCTCTAAGCAGCCTTTCCTGGCTTTTGTGTCTCAGACAGAAATGGTACAAACATTTCACACGTGAAATATTCTATTATTCACTGTGTACTCCCTCACTCTGTATCTAAAACTATAAATTAGCAAAGTCAAGAACTGTTTCTCGCTCTCCAGTGAAGTCTGGAGCACAGAACTTTTACCTCAGTAGGTGTCTCTTAACTGAAAGCTCCAGAAGGCAAGGATGGCTAGTTGAGAGCCAAGACTCACCTTGCCAGTGCCTGGTTGCTGGCCCTCATACACACGGAACACCTAGCCAAGGAGCAAGAGAGAGAGAACAAGGTTGGCACCTTGCCCCAAAGAGCTAAGCCCTGTGCTCTGCCCTCAGCCCTATGCATCAGCACTTCTGTTTAAGATACAATGTTCCCTAATGCCACCCTCCCGGTGCCCACCACCACTGCCATCTATTTAACAGAAATAGGCTCACTTAGAACATTTAAGGAATACAAAAAGGTGTAACAAAGACAACAGGTAGTGCCTTTTTCATAGCAGTGGAGACAGCTGCAGTGTGAAACTCTTCCCGGGTCAGCCAACGTGCACCAGGGGGTGTAGTCACAAGGGTCTCTCCTTCCAGAGTCAGACCATATACTTGATATGTCAGCTTGATATGAGAGAATGTGTGGACAACCTGCAAAGGGAAAGGTGAGCGAGCAAAGGAGCTGAAATAATATTTGAGGCACTGCCACAAAAGCCATCATTCCTGATACTTCCATTGTTCACTCACCTCCCCACGGTGCTGGAGAGAGATGGCTGGGATGGGTCCAGCCCAGCTCTGCAGTTCCTGCAGTAGGGCCTTGCGCTGGCACTGCCTTGAGGGCTCTGTGGTCACAGATGGGAACTCCCACAGTCCTGCCAGCAAACCTGAAGGGTAGGGCAGGTGGGTAAGCCTTAGCTGCTGACTCCTCTATTCCTTCCTGCCAATTCTTTCCACTCATGGTATCCAGGTACCTGAGCTGGGCCTCTGTACTAGCAGAAGTCGAGCACCCCCAGGGGCCCTGGGCTGCTCCAGGACACAGATGGCAGAACATTCCTCCCTGGGAGGCTTGCGGCTGACCTTTCGGGGAAAGTTGGCCACTCCCAGGGTCTGGTCCCAGGGTTCTGTGGGTGGCAGGCACAGCTGACACTGCCCAGTACTGGGAACTGGAAACAGAAATCCTGAAGACCCATTCAGGCCAAGATGGTTTAGGTTGCCCAGGCCTTGGCCCAGCTCCACAGAAACTTGGGACTGTAGGATGATATGAATGAAACTTAACAGGCAGCAGGGCAGGGCTAAGGCTGCACTTCAGGCTAGTACTCACCACACTCCTCCACGTCAGGGCTATGAGGCCAGCTCTGAGAGGCTGAGCACTGCTTCTGTTCCACCTGAGAGGCACAGAGAAGGGCGGCTTGAGTCAAAAGTCAATCCCTAGGGCTTCTGATAATCTTTCCCCACACGGCTCACCCTCTGATATGCCCGACACAGGCTCTGCACAGGGCACTGATTGCAAAGTGGGCGCTGTGGTGTGCACACTGTGGCTCCCAGTTCCATGGCACCTTGGTTGAAGTCCCCTGGTTGGGCTGGGTCCACCAGCAGCTGGGCTAAACTCCTGCAAGAAGGAAACATCACTGGATTCAAGGACCCTTTGGAGACACCCCTCCCATTCTGATTCTTATTCCAATATCCTACCAGAGTTGCTGGTTGACAAGGGTGCTGCTGGGATCAGCACCAATTGCTCGGACACGGCACAGCACCCGGATTACATTCCCATCCACTATTCCGACTGCCTGGTACAGAGAAGCCCAGCAGTCAGCCGAAGCGAGGTGAATGGAAGGTAGGCAGGACACACAGTGAGGCTGAGCTCTGGGCTTACCTGGCCAAAGGCAATGGAAGCAATGGCTCCTGCTGTGTACCGCCCCACACCAGGTAGGAGTTGCTGTAGAGTCTCTGCTGTGCAAGGCATGTGGCCCCCTAGCTCCTCTACCACCTGATTTGGGAGGGCAGGCTCAAGGTTATCAATGGGACACCTGAAGCCCCTGGGCTGCCATCTCTCTTGCCACCATCCCCTCACCTTCTGGGCTCCCTCCTGTAGCCGCCTGCCTCGAGAGTAGTAGCCCAAGCCGGCCCAGAGCTGATTCACCTCCTGTGAGTGGGGTCAGATGTTGGAAAGATCAGTGGTCAGTCTTCAGCAGCCACCCCACTCTTGAGTGGTTCTTACCTCCAGAGATGCACTGGCCAGGTCCTGAAGTGTTGGCCACTTCTACAGTGCCATGGCAGACAAAGAGATGAGACCAAGGGTGAGGAAGCTGGAGGGGTCCTTCTGAACCCTACCATCAAGGGACAGGCTCTAATCTAGGGTGTGGCTCACAATCTCCTCCTCTCCCTCAGTCACCTGCATCCATCGGGTATAGTAGTCAATCACTGTGGCAACCTGGGTCTGCTGCAACATGACTTCTGAGACCCACACTGGGAGAGAGGGATTGGCATGAGAGTCTTGTTGGCGTCCCTGCTCTTAGCCCCCAGTCCAGGACCCTACGTAGGGTAGCCAAGCTCCCAGGAGCTGTACTCACCAGCATATGCCCGCCTATCTGGGTCCTCCTCATCTTCTGCCTGTTAATAGGCCAAGTGAGCAATCAATGTGGAAGAGCTGGGACCAGACTTCCACCTTACCAACCCATACTCCACCTGCCTACCCGCCTTCTCCAGGGAAGGTCACGCTTCTCTCTGTTATACCAGCTCAGGAGGCTCCCCCGAAAGGCTGTGACCTCAGCGTCTTTGAAAAGGTGGTATGGGGAGACAGAGGCCTGTAATACCTCCTTCTGCTGCCTGGTCAGACCTGGAGACACACAAGACACTATGGGACGTCCCAGCTGAGGCTGGGGTCAGACTAGAGTTCTTTAGTTATGTGCAGTCTTAGAAAAGTTTCTGGCCTTAATTTTCCTAAACTAGTGCTGCTGATACCTTTGCTTCTGGGTCATAACAAAGACCTGACGGTTTCAGCCAAGCATAAATGGCACCTGTACTGGGTGTTCTTGTTTACACAAAACTTCCAGGTTCATAAATTTATTTAATCCCCATGAAAGCCCTTCATAAACTACCGTCCCACTTTAGTGGTAAGAAAGCAGCCATTTAATTAGCCCAAAATCACACAAACAATACAGAATTAGCTCCCAAGTGTCATAATGCCTTGATGACGCTGTTCTCTCTCCAGCCTTGAGTATACCTCTCTTATAGCCTGTTGAGACAAACCCCTGAGTGCCCCACCCCCCCACCAGGTTCCTCACCATTAAGAACAGGAGGCTTGGCCTGGCTGCTGCTGAGGACACATTTCTTTTTACCCTCTTTGCTAGATGTGTTCTTCTTGTGACTTCTCCCAGTTGCTTGTGACTTCCTCATGATGACCTAGAATACAAGGGCCCAAGTGTTCACCATGGTGAGGCTGAATCTTGGGTCCCTTTTGAGGCTATAAGCATCTCCTCTGTACACTATACACACAGAACAGTATCTCAGTTTTCTCAAATCACTCTCAAGATGCTCATGAGTTTATAAGTGGCTGGCTGTGACACTGAAATGCCACCAGAATGGCTGAGTTCTTCAACTGGCTTCAGAGACCAGCATTAGTACAACGCTAGAAACAAGTAATGAATAGGGGTCAGTTCAAGGACCAACACCTAGTGTTGGGAAGCACCTTTGTATCCTTGAAGTTCACTGTGACTGTGGAGTTGTTTAGTGGTTTTGAGGATCATAGAATAGCGGATATGGGAGGTTTATCTGTTTAGAGATGTAGCATGTTTATACTGAAACAGGCCAGTAAGTCATCTAGTTCAAGGCACTATGCTTAAGTTCTCAGGTGCTAACCTAAAGGCTGACAGTCTTAAACCCCTCTAGTTGCTCCACAGGAGAAAACCCTAGCTATCTGCCAAGAAGAATGCTATATGCGGGGACAGTTCTTCTGCCACGTAGGGTCACTATGAATCAAAATCAACTGGACAATACTTAATAACAGTTCCTTTTACTAAAAAAAGAGAAACTTACGTTTTATAAAAAGAAGAAACCAAGGATCAGAGAGAGAAAAGATGTCCAAAAGCAGATAATAAATCAGTGAGGGTTAGATATGAACCATTCCACTCTTAATCTTCTCCTGATCAAGTAAGCTACAGTTGTCCGGCCATTAGCAATGTTGTTGTGTGACATCAAGTCAAAATGGACTCAGAGCTGACCTTCCACCGGGTTTTCAGAGGCAGTTAATCACACAGGAGATTACGCATCCTTCTCCCACATTAGTAATAAAAACGTTCATCTATTTGCTCTTAAACTGTTCCCTTTCTGTTCTTCTGGCTATCTGTGGCATATGCTAGGTCTCATGCTAGGTGCTTTAATGGGTGGGGTCTCTCATCCAACTTCTGACAACTTCATGATGTAAGTACTAGTATTAACATCATTTTATAGATGAGAAAACAAGGTTTATAGAGATGAAGTGATTTTTTTCCCTTCAACCCACACTCTGCTTCCAGATCCTATGCTCTGACACTCTTCCATGCTGTTCCTGCTACCTTGGTTTGAAGCCTTTTCTTTAAACTCTCAACTTTGCCACTTACCCCTCATCATGAGTTTGCTTCCTCCCTCAGAAAAAGAGGGAGATAGTTGTTTGTTGTCCTCAAATTGACTATGATTCCTAGCAACCCTATGACCAATGGAGCTTTGCCTTGTTCTGCAACACCCTCACAATCTCCACCATGGTCAAGCCTTTTGTGGTAGCCACTGACAATCTATATATATTGTTGTGGGTCTTGCTCAGTTTTGATGACTCTACCTCTCTCTGCATGATACCTTTTTCCAAGATTTAGCCTCTCCTGACAACATGCCCAACTTAATATGAGATGAAGTTTTACCATCCTTGCATCTGAGAAGCTTGTTCTTCCTCTAACATAGACTTGTTTCTTCTTTTAGAATTCCATGAAGTATTTAATAATCTTTACTAACACAATTCAAAAGCATCAACTCTTCTTCTGTATTCCTTACTCACTGACCAAATTTAAAGTGCATATAAGGAAATTAAAAATATTGTGCCTTGGATTGGGTGCACCTTACTTTTTTAAGTTGACATCCTTGCTCTTTACTATTTTAAAGAAGTCTTTGATAGGTGTATGATGTTGCCTACTGGTAGTGATAAGAATTTTGTTTGCTTGATTCTGAGATGTAACCCATATTGAAAGCTGAAGTCTTTAATCTTCAGTAAGTTCTTCACGTCTTCTTCACTTTCTGCAAGCAAGGTTATATAATCTGCATAATGCAGGTTCTTAATGAGTCTTCCTCTGATTTATTGAATTCTTTGTTCACCATACAGATTGAATAGATATGGAGGAAGGATACCATGATATACACATTTCTTTATTTCAAACTATGCAGTGTTCTCTTATCCTGTTCAAACAATTAGATGTTCTGGGATTCTCTTTCTTCTCAGTATTAGCCATAATTTGTTATGATCCTCAGTCAAATGCCTTTGTTTAGTCAATAAGACACAAGTAAATATCCTTCTGGTATTCTCTCCCTTCAGTCAGGATCTACCTGACAGCAGCAAGGTATCTCTGATACCACAGCCTCTTCTGAATCCAGCTTGAATTTCTGGAAGTTTCCTACCAATGTATTGTACCAGCCATTTAAAGATAATATTCAGCCAGATTTTTCTTGCATGTGATATTAATGATATTGTTCAATAATTCCTGTATTCTGTTAAATTACTTTTGGAATGGGAACAAATATGGTTCACTTCCAATTGGTTGGCCAGCCAGCTGTTTTCCACCCTTCTAGGCTAGACTGGTGACCACATACAGGAACATCTCTTTCCTGAAATACTTCAATTGGTATTTTATCAGCTCCAGGAGCTTAGTTTTTGTCAATGCCGTCAGTGCAATTTGGATTTCTTCCTTAAGAGCCACTGGTTCTTGACTTTTTGCTACATGTTGAAATAGTTCAGTGTCAACCAATTCTTTTTGGTTCAGTAAAGACATGTGTGCCAAAGGTAGGGACAACACTGACACTAATGGTTAACTCCACAATAAGGGATATACCTTTCACTTTTTCTATAAAATGCTGGTCTGATACGTCTCTAAATCTGAACATTCAGCTAAGACAGACTAGGAAGAAGGATTAGCCATCCACTTCTGAAATAGCAGGCCTCTGAAAACCCTATGTACAACAGAACACATGCAGATAACAGAAAGGGTAACTGAGGATGAGCTTTCGAGTATGGAAATACAAAGGAAGAGGAACAGTTGTAAACACTAGTGATTGGGACATGGAATGTGAGAACCCTGAATGTAGGAAAATTAGATATTGTTAAGGAAGAAATGGAACATATAAATATTGACATACTCATGACCAAGTGGGATTCATAACAGGTATGCAAGGATGGTTCAACATCAGGAAAACAAT